CTGAGCCAACTTCCCAGCCCCCCAGGCCACTACTTTAAGCCCCATGAATGACAAAAAAAAGAAAATGAATTCAGAGCCAGGCACTGATGGCTCGTGCCCTGTAATCCTAGCTATTCAGGAGGCTGAGATCTGCATATCATGGTTTTAAACCAGACTAGGCAGGAATGTCGGTGGGATTCTTTATCTCCAATAAACAATGCTTCCCCCAAAACAGCCAGAAGTGAATCTGTGGTTCAAGTGGTAGAATGCAAGCCTTGAGCAAAAGTAGCTCAGGGATAGCACTCAGGCCCTGAGTTCAAGCCCTAGGACTGGCACATACACACACACACACAAAACAGCCAAAAACATTTCAGAGACAAAAGCTGATTTGGGTGAATTTAAGAAATGAAAATAGGAAAGCTAATTATGCCAAAGGCCTGAGTCTGAGACTAGGAGTATAGCTGTGCCATTAACACACACACACACCAAAACTAAAAGGAAATGTGGCTTTTGTTTGGGGAAAAGTGCTTTGGGTTTGGATCTGCTAAGTTCATGGTGCTTGAAGAACATCTAGAGGAAGATTTCTAGCAGGCTGCTTAATAAGGTCAGAACTAAAACTAAACTTTTTTAGTTTTCTTCATAACGATATTGTTGAAACTATGACAGAGATGAACTCCTAGAAGGAGAAAAGAAAAGCAAGTCAAAGACAGTTTCTTGGGAAACACATTGTGTTCAATGATTAGAGAAGAGTCACAAGGGAACTAAATGAGGTAGTTAGGAAGATAAACCAAGGACTTTTGGACTTCAACAGAAGTTTCCAGAAGGATTATGATTAGAAGTTCCAGATGCTTCTGGAATATCAACAGAAATGAGGATTGTTAAAAGGCCATGATAGGGCTGGGATGTAGCTCAGTGGCAAAGCGCTTGCCCAGCAAGTGCAACGTCCTGAGTTCGATCCCCAGTACCAAAAAAGAAAAGACAAAAAAAAATACAGTTAAAAAAAAAGGCCATGATAAATCCTAGCTATTCAGGAGGCTGAGATCTGAGGATTGTGGCTCAAAGCCAAACTGGGCAAGAAAGAACATGAGACTTTTTTTTTTTTTTTTGGGTCCATCGTGGGGCCTGAACTCTGGGCCTGGGCGCTGTCCCTCAGCTCTTCAGCTCAAGGCTAGCGCTCTACCACTTGAGCCACAGCGCCACTTCC